AACATACCAGGAGTTCAGACTGCAATGGAGGGAGGTCAGCTGAATTGTTAAGTGGCATCATAGTATGGCTGGGTTCTCTTTTGAAAGCTGGTGGCCCCCTTCTGTACTTGCTTAGAATGACAAAACATCAAACAGACTCCCAGATAAGCAGATACTACTACAATTTTTATATCAACAATGCTAGGACACCACCTTCAAAAATATTAGTTCTTCAGGTTACAGCCATGATGAGCAGGTTCCAGAGAAGCCACATGTCACTGCCCACCAACACCATTTGAACCAAGCTTTTTCCTCACCTGACAAGGATACTCTCTTGAAGTAGTTCTCGACTGAGATTCAAGGGGATATCCTCACTGTCCACAACCCCTGCAAGGAGGTAAATAAAGAGATAGGCTGTGCTTTGCAACAGTCCTGGCAATTTACAGGCTCCTCCTCCTCCTAAACAGGGGTCTTCTGACTACCTTTCAGGAAACGTAACCATTTGGGTAAAATCTCAGTAGCCTTGGTCATGATCAGGACCTTACGACTATAGAGGGCAACACTGGAGCCTTGCTCCTGGCTCACATCAAACATGGAAGGTTTCTAGGAAAGTATGAAAGAGAAGAACAGGTGGAAATCAGAGTTGCACTGCAAAGACCATCCTCCTGAGGTGAAGTGAGATCCTGTTACAATCTCCTCCCATGTCAGTTTTAGATTTGAGACCAGCCAAACGAGGCAAGGCTGCCCATCCTTCCCACTCACCACCCCCGGCACGTAAAATATGCTGCGGATGTTGAGAGGTGCATCAGTCTTGTAATGCAGGGTGTAGCGAGGCTCATCATATGCGTGGGCAATGAAGTGGTAGAACTCCGTGTGCTGCCAATCTCCAACCTCCTTGGGCTCCATCATCCAAAGGGCCTGAGCAGAGAGAAGACATCCTTAGTTGAAGCCAGCCACATGCCCAAAGCAGGAGCCCCAATGAAGGAGAAAAGGGCAAGTTTCCACGAACATCATAGCAGCATTTTGCAGATGGAGCTGGTGCCAGCAGTAATTTTTATCAATCCCCAAAACCACAGGAGATCCAAATAACCATAGGGAACAATTAAGTGTTTCCATAGTACATGGGTGGCAAGGTAGAAAAGGGCAGCTGGCATTTCCTCCACAGAGATCATCTAGAGATGCCAGAGGATTGTGTGACGTCTACTTGCTAATATGCCATTTAGTTCGAGTCCAGCTCCAAGGACCACCCAGTATCTCCTCTACCTTCAAGGTGTTGACACGTTGCCCGTTCAGATAGAGGGGGAAGCTGATGAAGTTGCTATACTTTGTGATGATGTCTAGAAAGGGAACAAAGACAGGCTGAAAACTCTGCCAACTTCCTCTGCACTCCCAGTAGGGATCTTCATCCAACCAATATGTAACTGGGACTAGGCGCTAATCTCAGGCAGCCACTATACAGACAGGGTAGAGTTGCAAAAGAAATTCAGAACTACAGAATAGGACCACCTAATATATTACTACTTAATGAACTTTTTCCTGAACCAATTTGATTCTGAAACCCACTCTAAGTATTGCAATCAAGCTACCAAGCTACCAATCAAGCTACCATGGCTGGGCACCATCTCCAAAAATATTCCTTCCAGTCATCTTCAGAAGCGTTACTTGGAGGGTCTGGAATACGCTCCCGCAGAAGCTACCCAGGGCTACACCAAAGGAATGGACAATTTTTTAAAAAAATAAACACGTCCTATCAAATGGCAAGGGATACACAGGACATTTTGAAAGCATTTTGCAAAGCATCTATTACAGCTATTATTCCTTAGTCCGCCAAGCTAAGGAGGACGTTTCCCCCCAAATTTGGAAGCAACTTGCCATATATGAAAGTACTTTACAAAGAGTTATGCCATTAATCCTTCCACTCTAGCAAGGACTCCTTGGATTAGATGTGGCTCTGTGACCAGGATATGGGCAGAAGAGAGCTTCCCCCAACATTTGCAGAGACCAAAGCCTTACCCCTTCAAAACAGGTTTGGACAGGCCACTCAGTTCTGCTTTTTCCCCCCAAGTCAGACTCTGCATCTCATCCACTGGTCTGAGACATGGAACTGGTCTCCATTCATAGATAAGAAAGAAAGATCCCTTCTGCCATTACTCACCTTTGACTCGCTCCTCACTGGCAAACTCCTTGCAATCTTCCTTTATGTGGAGAATTATTTTAGTTCCAACCTGAACTCCAGAAGCTTCTGAAATTTCGAACGTCCCATAACTAGAGTTAGAAAAGCAAATCAGAGGAAAGAAGCAAACTACCAACAAATATGAACCCACTGACTAAGTGTTATCCCACACGCAGTAATCAGTACATAGCTGACTCCCATCCTAATGCAAAAATTGCAAGACCAAGTCTCCCTGGTGAAAAGTAATATAGCACTCATTATCTGAGCACAACTTCTGCAGAAGCATCAGAAATGTTTTGCAAAGAATTGGGCATCTCTTCTGCTCAGCTCTTCTAAATTTGTCTTCATTCTTGGATTCCAATCAGGGAGGCAGGTAGAATCCAAAGCCCCTCAATTTTCCAGCAAAGCTTAGAACATTTCATAAAGTGCTTTTAACTATTCAGCTGCAGCCTCTGCCACATCCTTACCCGTCTGAACGCCAGCAATAACCAAGGCTATCTGGCTCTGCTGATTTGGAGAAAACTTCCACTTGATTAGCCACCATAAAGACTGAATAGAAGCCCACTCCAAATTGGCCAATAATCTTATTGCTGGTCTCTGTTTGCCTCTTCAGTGTATCCAGAAAGGCCTGTAGATACAACATAAGGCAGGCTAAGTGCATGAAGCAAGAACCAGCTGGTCTGCCTCACCTTGTTACCGCCTCTGCTTGCAAAGCATCAAATGCCATTCGGATTCTTGAGAGTACACAGCCAGCATACCACCTGGGCATTCTTTCCCAGAACTATTATTGGAATATCATTACAGAAAATGTCAGTCTATGTATTTTGTAAATAAAAATTACGAGAGCCATTTTGGTGTAGCAGTTAAGGCATCAGACTAGAAACTGGAAGACTAATCGAGTTCCTGTCCCGCCTTAGACATAAAACCAGCTTGCTAACCTTGGGCTAGTCTCTTTCTCACAGTCCTAGGAAGTTGGCATTGGCAAGCCACTTTTGAAAATCTTGCCTAGAAAACTACAGGGACTTGTCCAGGCAGTTTCTGAGAATCAGACATGTTTTAAACTGAAGGAAAAATGAATCAATATGCATATCACTCACACCAATATGCAAGTAAGTTTACTATTTATTTTTGTTATTCTACAGAGTCTCATTACCTGAATAGAGAGCTTTATAAACCTAGTTAATACGTGGGAATGTGCAAAACAAAGTCAATTACTCCCAGACAAGCAATATAAATGTTCTTTAAAATGTTTAAAATGCAAAACAATCCAACAACAAAGCTAAAACTAAGCATATTTTATTCAACAAACATGAGAAATTTTATGAAAACAAAGACTCTGTTTGCTCTTCAAAGGTACATGAGAATGCAAAGCCACGGCAACAGGATTAGAGCCCCCCTTTTCATCTTACCTTGGAGCCAGATCTCGCAATGGTTCCTAAATTGGACAGAAGTTCTTCATAGTTCATCCCAATTCCAGTGTCCTGCAAGCAACAGAAAAGGTGTCCCTTGCAAATCCAGCACTGCACTTTGGGATGTGTGAGAAGACACAGGCTCCTTTTCTGCCCTTCTCCACCCCCTTTCCACATATGATACAAGAATCATGATTAACTCACAGCACTGCTTCTGATATTTTGCCCTGACAGCTATGGTCTAAATATTAGCGCAGTGCAGAAAAGGCAGAAGCAAATCCTCCTTCCCACGCCATAAAACCCATGTCGCTTAAGTCAAGCTCAACATTCAGCATAGCTGCAGTACTAAATTATAAACACTTTCCCTTCTGGGAAAACTTTCAAGGCATTCCAATTCCCTTCCCAGCTTCTTTCTGGGACAAGCAAGGCTAGATTCTCCTGGAATCAACCTCACTGGGCTCTACTTACCAAGCAAATTTCAGCTAACCCTTGAAAACAGAGAACTCACTGAATAGCAAGAGGAATGTGTTGCTTTTATACATTATGCAGAAAAATAGGTCCTCCTACCTGGATGGCAACCAGGCACTTTTCCTTGTCTGTCTCCAGATCAATCCTGAGTTCTGGCAAGACACTTCCTTCAGAGACCAGTTTGTGGCGCAGCTTCTCCAGAGCATCACTACTGTTGGAGATCAGCTCCCGGATGAATACCTGTCAAAAAGTCAAAGAGCAGCTAAGCTCTGCAGAGCGAGGGGACGTCCTAAACCCATGTTATTGGCTTCACCCTGGAAGGCTTACCTCCTGCTCAGAGTAGAGGGAGCGGGCCACGATGTCCAAAAGTTTCTGGGTTTCGGCCTGGAACTCGTGCTTCGAGGCAGAACCTGCTAAAACAAGCTCAGGGTTGACAGGAGGGCTCGTTGATGCTAATCGGCATGAGTGCTGATGGCGTTACCTACTTTGGGTAACGAAACGTCTGCAAGAAACCACCGGGCTCAGAGAGCACCAAGGAGCCCTCAAGGGGAAGAACAGGAGCTCCTCCCGACTTCTTAGCGAGGAGAATTAGCCCGGCCGGCGGGAGACTTACCTGGGACGATCTCGGGCCTACTAGGCGACCGGGGGGGCGCCTCTTTGTCGTCCCGAGCAGCGCGGCTGCTGCACGAGCGCCGCCAAGCCCAACCGGGCAGGCCGGGGGAGGGAGGCGGCCTCGCCGCAGAGAGCAGCCTAGGCGGGGCTCGGCGGGCGCGGGCTGCGGCACTGTGCTCACGCGCCGCGCGGAGGACCGGTAGGGAGGTGCGGCGGCGACAGCCCGCCAACAGCAGCAGCACTGGCGGAGACAGTCTCCCCAGCCCCATGGCCACGGCACGAGCTCCGGCGCTTCCGGCGCTGGCGGGACGTCACACCCGGCGAGGGCGCGCTACTGACGTCACGACCGCAGGGGGCGGGCCCGTCCGGCGCCGCGTCCGCTGAAGTGGCGTTCGGCTGGCTGGCCGATGGCGCGCCCGGAGGGGGAGGCGGAGATCCACCCGCTCAAGGCCCGAGAGGCGCCGGCCTCGCCGGGGAGCGGGGCTCGGGACGCCGAGAAGGAGGCGGGCGGCGGTGCGCAGCCTGGGCGTCTCTCGCAGTGGCGCACCGCGGCCTTCTTCCTCTCGCTCTACCTTTGCCTCGGCGTGGCCTTCGCCTTCTCCTTCGTCATCCCCTGCCCGGTCAGGCCCGCCTCGCGGACGGCCTGGAGCAGGGTCTACGACGACGCCGGTGAGGGGGGCGGGCGGGCGGGCGGGCGGGCTGGGCTCCCGAGGCCGCGCGAGCCCCGGCCTCACCCACCTGGCCCCCTCTCTCGCAGCTGCGTACGCCTTCCTGGCCGCGGGGGACGCCGACCGGGACCGAGTGCAAGACCTCCTCGTGGCCTTCCAGGCCGGCCCCGGCAGCCGGAACGCCAGCGGTGCCGACCAGGAGGGCTCTTGCTCAGAAGGAGGTAATAAGGGGGGCGTCGGGGCCGGGGGCGCGGCGCGGTTGGGGTGATCGATCCGTCCCTCCCTCTTCGCAGGCTTCGCCGCTCCCTGCGCCTTCGTGGCGGCGCATTCGGGCACCAACGGCAGCACGCTATGGGAAAGGCCGGTGGCCCAGGAGCTGCTCCTGATGGACTGCTCGGTGGAGCACGGCGGGTCTCCGGCCTGCCTTCTCGTGGGGAACCCGGCTTCCCTCACCCTCCTCGACCTGGAAACAGGTACCTTCCTTCTTTTGAGCCAGCCAGCCGCCTCGGGAAGATGCATCCGTTTTGGGGCAAAGAGACGCCCAGAAGGAAGGGCTGTAAAAGCGCCAATGCATTGGCCCTGTGGGCCTTTGTGCCATAGGAGGGTGCTCCAACAAGCGGAGTATGGATTTCTTCCTGCTTAAATGGTGGGGACAGTTAGTGTGACTTTCGAAGCAGAGTTTAGCAGCCGTTGGTAGTTGACAGGTGTGGGTTAATTCTGCTCTGGGACATACTCTGGTCTGATCCCACGTGGGGCTTCGTAGATCAGACAGGACGACGTCCTAGCGAAACGGAATCCTGCTGTAACTCTTTGCAGAAGCATTTGGAAATTTGGCATCCAGGGAAATCTTGGCTCCCCTGGTGGCAAGGATTTTGTCCCTTCTTCAGCTGCCAAGACTCGTGAGTCTGCTGTTTCCTCCTTGCACTTTTCTTCTATCCTTAGAAATATTGATGAAGTGAAAACAGAAAAATGAGCCTGGTTCCCCTTGTGGTGAGCAAGTGGAACAAATGAACAAGTGTGATGTTTCTTCTTTGCTTAGAAGCTGCATTTCTTCAAGATACTGCTGAAAGGTTTTTCAGCCCATCTTTGAAAAAGATGTTTAGGAGAACAGTTGGTAAAACTCTTAGGTTTCTGGACACCTGTATGTGGGGAGTGGGTGACATGGGAATTCCCAGTTTTGGTGGTGTGAATGCCAGAGTTTAGATGCCATATGTGAAGTCATGTGTTGCAGTAGACTTGTTCAGTGATTAACTGAAATAAATGCTCAGGATGAATTCCAGAGTCAAAAGCCACTACATTGGAAAGGCGGGCATCTTACTTGTCAAGGCTTCAGAATCAGCACTACCTACTCTGTTTTTTTCCTAGGCCAAACTCGGTGGAATGAGGCAGTCAGTTTTGGGGCTAACTCTACAGTCTTGAGTCCCTTACTGAAGATTCCTGATATCGACAAAGACGGTGTGCCTGATTTCTTGGTCTTTGCTGCCGCAGGACAGGAGGTAAGAATTGCTGAAGCAATAGGATCCTCCTCCCTATTGCAGAAGAATTGGCCACATTCACAGCAGCATGGGGGCTCGGAGCCTTAAAAATATGCTACATCATTTCTGCACTGCAGCACTCAAAATTAATTGGATGACCTGTGTTATAAACTAGTGAGCCCTTTGTTTGCCTGCTCTGTAATTTCACAGTCTTCCACGTATTAAGCCATCATGTATTCCTGTACCTGTCTTATTCTATCCCTTTGGGGTTTTTATAAACTTTTACATAGAAACTTTCTGTTTTAGTATCTTCCAGCTTTTCCAAACATTTAACATTTGTGCCGTTTCTGAATCTTAAGAATCCTGGGCAGTAGGCTTGAAATACAGTTGTTGGGAGCCAGTGATAACAAGGAGCTCTTGCCATCTAATTTCAGCCTCTGGGTTTCCCAGCTGCACCCAGTTTACCCTGTCAGATACAGCGTGCTGCAGTAAAGGGCCTGGGGTCTCAGTATTCTTCAGCTCAGTGTTTCAATCGGCAGCAGCTGGTTGGAGAAATGGCCACCAATAACTGCTTTCCATAGCAGGAGTGATCAGGGGAAGGAATGGGAGCAAAGGATTGCATCATTCCCTTTGTTCTGTCTTTTTCCTCATCCTTAAAGATCCATAAATCTTTAACAATTAAAAGTATTAGTGGGGTGGGGGATTATTAATTCCGGTTGACTGAAAGGGGTTGTCAGGCATTTATGGGAGGAGCCAATGCCATTGTGGAAGAATTCAGAGTGGGGTGTCCCACTATCGAGCCACTTGGAAGGTCAGCAGGGAGCAGCAGGCACAACAGACCTTCTCTCAGTCCCAAGAGTCATTTTCTTTCCCCAAGCTTTGAGCACAAGTTGTGTTGATACTGAAAAGTATCTTGTCTATAAAACTCCAGCTTACACTCAACTTGGGAGCTGTGATGGCACAGTGGTTAGAATGCGGACTGCAGGCTAATTCTGCTGGCTGCCAGCAGTTCAAGCCTCACTGGCTCAAGGTTGACTCAGCTTTCATCCTTCCGAGGTTGGTAAAATGAGGACCCAGATTGTTGAGGGACACTCTGCTGACTCTGAAAAACTGCTTAGAGAAGGCTGTAGAGTGGTGTATAAGTGCTGTTGCTGTTAATACCGTGAACAATTATGATCTAGTTCCATTTTTTAAGGTTCCGTGCTTTTTGCTAACCCTTTTGAAGGTAACATGAATGCCAGAGTTCTGCTTAGGCTGAACTATCCTGGCTTCGGTTTTCTCTGCAGATTAAGAGCTGCTTCTATTCAGGAACATTTGGCACGCAAATGAAATTCAGCGGAAGTCTGCATTTGCCAGGACTGATTGGGCACCTCTTGCACGTCACCAAGAGTGGAGCCCATTACATCCTGTTCTACACGGGTGGGTCCTGTACGTCCAAGGGCGAGGAAGGAGGGCAGCTGGACACCTGCCCTTCCGCCTGCTTCATTTAGACCTTTCTTTCTCGCTTTAGCAAAGGCTCTTTTTGCCTACTCGCTGAAGGAGCTCTATCACATGGCTGTGGGCCCAGCAAGCGCAGCCCTTGCCAGCCTGAAGGAAGATGCAGAGTGGGAGATGGCGATGCGTCACAAGGCCCGACAGGTGCCCCTTGCCAGGTATCTGTGCTGGAATCCCTCCTGACCTAAGACCTGCAGAAGCCCTTTGCTCTTCTATATTCCCTGCCAACCCCTTTACTAATGGAAAGCAGAGGACCCTTGGATCTGCTGCCATGCAGAGCAGAGGCTTGTAAGTGGCTGCAGCACCAAGGTTTGACCTGCACTGCTGCCCTGAAGTCTTGGAAGAAGAGGTGAATGATCTCTGACGAGGAATAACAGGAGTTTTTTATTCCCTGTTAGCTCTGGAGATATTCAATACGTGACAAAGATGTCAGAGAAATCGGGGAGCCATATTTTGGTTGCAAGATCAGCTATGTTGGAGCTGGTGAATGGACAGCAGCTGAGTTCATTGTGGGTTGTTGGTATGCCACACATCTTGAGGTAATGCCAGTATTAGGAATGTTGTCTGCACAAGAGGGCCTTGTGTGAATGCTTAATACTCTCCTGAGTTTCAGGGAGAAAGAGAGGGCTTTGCTACCTGTTTCTGGTATTCCCTGGATAGGCCACCTCTTGACAGGATGAGTGGCACTCAGATCAGATGAATGAATGAATACATAAGCAAGTTGAACCTGGGATAGGGAAAGAAGGGCGAAAAGCCAGAGATGCCACCAGTTGATCGTCATCTTGTGTCCTGCTTGCAGGGAGCCTGTTCTCGGAGCCTTTGGTCCTGATGAGGTTGCCGTGGCCATTGAAAGCAGAGTCTCACATGAAACAAAAAAGGTTTGCAAGGGGCCCTGTGTGGTGTGGGGAGGGGGTGTAAGACGCAGATCTTTTGGTTTCTTTGGAAGTACCAATTGTACAGTTGTATCTACTTAAGCCAAGGGAGCTGGAGATGTGTGGTTGCCATGAAAATACACGCACACAGCCCAGCTGTCCTTTCAAGTCGCCGTTTACCCTGTAGGTTACAATTGTGGAGGGCAGCTCTGGCGTCATCAAGTGGGAAGTGGAGCTGCGTTCAGAAATGCAGAGTCCCAAGCCAGCCACTCTTGCAACTGCTGATCGCAGATCCTTCTTCCTCTTTTGGGGCCTCTACCAGGACGAAAAAAATGAAACGGTGAGTAGGAAATGATGTGTAACAGATGGAAATGAAGTGGGGCTGCCCACCAGGAGCCTTGCAGAGCAGTAGCAAATCCGAAGCTGCACTCTGACCAGCACTGGGAGTGGAGGAAGGCCTTACCAGCTCCATGTCGTCTTGTGGGATTTTCCTTTGGGTTCAGCTTCCTCCAGAAAGCTCTGGGAAGAATCTGTATGGGTAGTGCTCGAGTCTTGATTGTGCAGTATGGTGATTAAGCAAGACACCCACAAGACTGCCTCACTCAACAACCACAATCCCAGTTCTTCTTTTTGGTCATTAAGCAGCCACCCAGCAGGGCCATAAGGTGGGGGAGACCTTGAGCGGTCCACTGGCAGGTGGAAACCGCCAGTGGGTTAAAGGCCTTGGTAGGCCAGACCCATCAGCCTGCCCCGTCCTATGCCCCCACTCTCCCTTTTGCACACAGTTAGAAAGCTAGCAAAAGAGAGGCGGCGGCTGCCGCCTAGGAAGATTGCCTTCGCTAGCTTTTCAGATGCGCCTCACACTGGTTGGATGCACCTATGGGTAGGGGAAGAGAAAGTTTAATTTGGTTTAGTTTAGTTTATTGTCATTGCACCTCGTACAACAAAATCAAACACCATCTTCAGTGCACATCATGACTGTGAAAATAAACACAAACACACATCCTTCACACTCCATACATTGAACTGAAAACCCGCAACACTGCACTATATAGTAGATTTCAAAAGAGCTACTACCCTGGGATAGAAGCTGTTTTTCAGCCTATTTGTGCTTGTTTTTAATATTCTGTACCGTCTGCCAGATGGTAATAAAAAGGGTTCCCAGGATGAGATGGATCTTTGAGAATGTTTTGAACTTTAAGGCAGCAGGAGTTATAAAGTTCTTCCAAAGCGGGGAAAGGGCAACCAATGATCTTCTGGGCAATGATGTTAACTCTCTGGAGTGCTTTCCTATCTGCCCCTGTGCAATTGGCAAACCATACACAGGTGCCGTAAGTTAAGATGCTCTCTCTGGTGCAGCGGTAGAAGGTCACCAGCAGTTTTCCATTCAGTTGTTGCTTCCTGAGAAGTCCCATGTAGTATAATCTCTGCTGGGCCCTTTTGACCAGGGCTGCAATGTGGACACCCCAGATCAGGTCCTCTTTTAGGGTAACACCCAGAAACTTAAAACTGGCCACTTGCTCCACTCGGTCTTCATTGATAAACAAGGGCTGGATGTCTGATCTGTTCTTTCTATAGTCCACTATAAGCTCCTTGGTCTTATTGGTGTTGAGGACCAAGTTATTGTCTCCACACCACGAAAGCAACCGGTCCACCTCATCTCAGTAGGCAGACTCATCCCCCCTCCCTGGAGATGAGTCCCACCACTCTTGCATCATCTGCAAATTTAGCAATAGTATTACTAGCGTGAGTGGGAAAGCAAGTGGATCTGGATGTGGCAGGGCAGTGGAATTGCAGCACTCCCATGAGCATAAAGGCTGGCATGCTGCCAAGTGCCCAAATTTTGACCACGGGGCTGCTACAGAGGTGAGAATGTCAGGTAGGGGCCACGGGTCCTTTTGTTTAGCATTGTCAATGTTGGTCACTGGACGAAAAGTTGACTCCTTGTAGTAAAGGCAGCCCTGGAGTTGTCCGTCTGTAGTGGGTGCAGCAAATGGAGTAATTAGGTGGCCTTTATTGTTCAGGGGGTCTTCACCAAAGGATCACGGGAGCGTGGCAGCTCCTGGGCATAAATAGACCAACCCATCTGTTCCTGGTGGGGCCCTGGCCCTCTCACTCTTCTCCTCCAGGGATCTTGGCATGGAAGTCGGCAGCAGCGGCTGTACCTATTCCATCCCTCCCTGCCTGCTGTCCTCTTGGAGCTGAGCAACAGCACTGAGCCCATAGTGGCCTTTGAAGGTAAGTGGATGCTCCAGCTGTTAGCCAAATTGCCCGGCCGTTGGGGGCTCCGGCTACACTTCCCCTTTTGGTTCTAGGGTTGCTTTTTGAGCGAAACCGCCATGCCTGTTACGTGCTGCTGGCAGGCCCCCAGGTTGGCAGCTCCCGTGGGAGAGTGGTGCTCTCAAAGCGGAAGCTGAAGGAAGATATTTTCAGCAGTCATGTGATCTGGCTCAACCAGATGCCCCAAGACACCGATCAGAATGTCCGGGACTATTTCCATCGGATGAGATTCCGTACTTTTGGGTGAGGAGTACAACCTCAAAGACTTTCAAACCTTAAGCTCACCAGGGAGAAGAGTAAACCACACTTGGCTCCTAGAACAGTTTGGCTAGGACTTGGATCCCGTTCCCTGGATTGTGCAGAGAGGCACCAGATTAAACAGCGTGGGGGAGGGGGGGACACAACGACACACACGCATTTTGCCTCCTTTGACCACCAGGGGCATCCATGTCCCAGAGGAGAAAGATCCTGGAGATGGTGCAACTGGGGTGGGGCAATTCTAACAGATGGGTGCCTGGCCATCTGGCTCCTCTTACTCATCCTTCCCACTGGAACAGTGGACTCTGTGCAGCTTGGCTGTATAACTGCGCCAGCCCCAGAAGTGCCTTGGTCCTCTCAGAGTCATAGCTGGCTTGGATCCTATGACCTCCCAGAAGAATCTGCAGAGGAACTTCATTGGCCTTGGCCACCTCTGTTCCCAAAGTGATGCAACTGGGCTGATCTCCAGCTCATAGGCACCGAGCCATGCAGGTTGGCTTTGCCAGGGACCGGGGCATCCAATTCGTCTGCCTCCTTTTTTCTGTGCTGTGTCCAAGCCTCAGGTGTGGCTTTTTCTATCACACTTCAAAGGTGGGCCTGCTTTGCAGAGCTGGAGTTCATTTATCTGACCTGCCCCAGATAATTTCAATTTCAATAAATTCAGCTTTGGCCACAATGTTTGAAATGTCATTTGTTCTCTGTGCTTCTCCCTGTACCTGTAAGAGCTAGGAACAGCCCAGGAACACTAGAGTAGGAATTGGGACAAACTGGATTTCCTGATTGGGTGACGGGGCAATGAGCAGGACGTTTCCGTGCCATGCCTAGCAAGATTGGTTACGGCTGAGCAGAAGGGAGGGGTTGATGTGGCATACACAAGGTTCTGCATCCCATCTCTCCAGGAAGTTGAGGCAGTCACTGAGTGGTGCTTTTGAGGAAGCCATCAAGGCTCCATTTGGTCCTTTCGTTCCCAATTCTGAGGACGTGGCAGGAGAGGAAGGGGGCTCTCCCTTTAGAGTGCTTTCCTGTCTCTTCTCTGCCAGATGTGATAAATTGTATGCCTTTTGGGGAGAGACTCTACTATAGTCAGTTGGGTCCTCAGGATCTTTGGCCACAAAGGTAGCCCACACATTATTGCTTTTTGGTCTGACCTGCTCTGTTCTGCTGCTGCTGCTGCTGCTGCTGCTGCTGCTGCTGCTGCTGCTGCT